GTCAAATGTCTTTGCCCTGGTATGTGTAGTTGGTAGTTGTCTTTTGACACACCACCACCGATTCTCTATTAGGTTTGTACATGCACCAATTTTAATAAACCCTTTTCAGAATCTTTTTTATCCAGGCAGTTCTACAATTTTTGGGTGGGGGTGCCATATGGAACTCTTTCCAAGCATTTACTGAGTCAATTTCAATGAAATGTGTTATTGATGCTAAGAATAAAAGTACTTCTTTTCAAAGTTTTCATGTTCTGATTTCACAACCTCTGGAACCTAAATAAATATATTTTTTTTTGTAAAACTAAACCCTCAGTTTTAAAATTAACAACTAGTTCATTTTTTACTGATATTTTTAAGGTATTTTTATATTTTGTCAGTTGTATGTTATATCTTAAATATACCTATTTTCTTTATGTTGATGGAATACACCGCAAATTATTGGGAAATTATGTAGAAAGTTACAATAAAAACTAGCAAAACTAGGTTTTTCAGGGGCAAGCTAGCCTTAAAGTTTACAGTTTTGTTGATTCTGTCTTGTTGTATTAAAGTAAACTTTAAAAATTTTATTTATAGGGACTTGTTTTTTTCTTATAACATCCAGTTGATGTTTTTTTTTTTCTCTCTCTCTTTAAACAGTTTGACTGTGTGACATGAAGTCTTGGTGTTTGTGGAAATCACCCTGTTACTGTGTTTACTTTATTGCCAATGTGGGGTTGTCAGCTTTGACGTCACTGATGTTCAAAGCCTTTGGCCACAAAAAAGTGAAATATTTCTTGTGTCAAGACAGAGGAGCAAAATGTGTCATGTGGTTTTAAAGCTTTGTTTTAAGGGTCACAAGATTTAAAACTGCCAAATTCAGACTGTTTGGGTTCAAATTCCAATTATTTTTTTAATATTGTAGTAGGACGTGAGCTGTTAAAAAGAATGATTCTATTATACTTTGTAAGGAAAATGTTGGTGTATTGTACAAAAGATTTAATTGTTCAGATAAATGTTCTGTTATGGATATTATTAAGCATTTTGTCCTGTTGGCTGAAACTCTGAAGAAAAGAACATGTTAGTTGAATGTATCTAAGACGAGGTAAAGTATGTGTTCACACTTACTGTGAAACCTGATTTGTTGCTGTTTTTGCTTTCAAAGCCCTCAGTTCACATGTTTGCTCTGGTTGTGCCAGTAAAGTGTACTTGTCTAATTGAAATACAATTTTTTTTATGAATCCAAATACAACGTTGATTACTTTTTTATAAATGTATATTTTGTGTGAAACAAGATGTAAGAATGTCCCATGTCTAAATGCAGCTTATCTTGTAAAGAAACTACTGGACATAATTTTGTAATGGTTACTTGTAAATTATGTATGGTAAACTATCGTCAGTTGAGCTTTTAAATGAGGGGGGTGGGGCATCTAGAAAACAAGTAGTTACTTGTTGTCTAGATGCCCACTTTAAGCCAGTGAAATAATTTCAAGATATTCTAGTTTTTATAATGCTCTTTTTTTTTTTATGTTATGTGTTTCATGTTCTAAATCCAGTTAAAACGTAAATCACTGCTCAAAATGTTAGCTAATTTTATTTGGCAATCATGTTTCAGTTTGTGAATTTTAAATAACTGATGACAAAAGTACCATAAAGTTTTGGTGTACAGGTTTTAAATTGCTGACAATATTGCTTTTCTTTGTTTTCCTATATAACACTTTAATTAAAATTTGACTTGCAATACATTGATAATGTGGGTTCAATTTTTGTTGTTGTTGGGAATTTTTAAAAATGAATACTGACAAGGGGTATACATTAAGGCTTGATTAAATTTCATAAATCATTTATCAGATTAGGATGATTTAAAATACCCTGCTTTGGGTCAAACTAAATGATAATTGGTTTGTAAAGCACAATGATGGTGTTATGGTTTTCCTTAACAATTGTGTAAATGCAGAGCATTTGAAGTACCTTCTTTCTAAAACTAACTTAAATATTTTCTCTAATATAATATTTCTTGTTTATAGAAAAAAAAAACAAAAAAACTTTAGTGTCCTGAATTCTGGATAGACAGTTTCTAATAGTTATTTACTGATGTGCAGGTATTTTAAACAACTATTAGATCAGCAAGTTTTTGTGACTTCAAGTTTAAAATCCTCATTTATATATACACCAAAATAATTTTAATAAGTTTTTAAAATAACTTCTTAAGAATATTATCAATAGCCTCTGATCACAGTGAGCTAATTAAATTAAAACAACTTTCCAAATTAACATCTGTTAAGCCTGACAAAGGAAACCTGTCAATTAAGGTAATATATGATTTTTTTTTAAAAGTAAATATTAATTTTTAGTTTACAAGTTTTTCCTGTGGAAGTTCATTGTGTGGTAGCTATGTGAAATAGGTGTTTAAAAACTTTTTATCTTGTGTTGTTGGCCAGCTTTCAAGTGCTAAGATTTTCTGTGATGACAATAGAACTTTGTTCTGTACATGTAGAACCAAACACTATTGACTCTAAAATCCTCGGACTTTAGCGAGAACGATGAGGCATGATGACAACATTAAGTATGGAAAATAGTATATTCTTTATGAAGGAACATTCATTCCGGAGAGGAAATTAAAACTCTGAACATTTTCTTCGTGAAGTTTAAAAATACTTTGCTCACAATAAATGCTTTAAAAAAACACACAAAGTTTTTCTCTGTTTGTTTTCGTTTTTCAAATTCTATCTGGTGATGTTTAGATTACTTCATTGATTCTCACCCTGATAATATGTTTTCAAATAAGTAGTTTTATTTTAAGAGGAGCTATAGACTGTGTTGTGCAATGAATAATCAAGGATTAATATTTTAGGTAAAAAAAACATTTAAAAATAATTCATTGCATCATCATAATTCCAAAATATTAATATGTTGTAAACCAAAGAATTTTTCAAAACTGTGAAATAAAATGCCACCAATAATCTAAGGGATGTTTTATGGCCAAGTTTTTATATGGCTGATATATTAAATAAAATAACCATTTTGCAAGAAAGGGGGGGAGTTGAAACAACATTGTTTTAACAAAATGATATTGAACCAGTTATTATAACCATGTTAAGCTTCTCTTTGTGATACGTTTATTTGTAAAGGGTCATTTATGTCTTCCATTATTTTAGAGGCTCTTGTTTTAGGTGTACAGTTCCTTGATATTGTAAGTGTCTAAGCCAAGTTAGTTGTGTGTCTACGTCTTTGTACTTTTTCTGTTTTTGAACATTTGATAATTTGAAAGTATAAACCAAGTTAAAAGGTCAGTCTAATGAGTTACAGAATATATATGGATTGTTGCAAAGTTGGATTAACCTAAAAATTTTTAATAGACGACCAGTAATCTAATCAACTGAAAATATTTTTATCATTTGATTTTTATGTCATTAAACTTACAAATATGAAGAATTGTACAATTTTCTTTTTCTTAATATAGTCCACATTTAGGCCTTAAAGACGTGTCTGTGTTATAGATCATCATTTTGTCATTCTTCTATTATAGATTTCTGGATTTTAAATATTTTTTGAAAGAATAAAAGTATGTTTTTTTATGAAAATGGTTCAGAATTTAATACTTTTGTGCTGATCAATTATGAAATAAATACAAACGGGGGAAATTTAATGTTTTTTTCCCAATGCGGTAATGCTTAGTTTATGCTAAATTCTTTGAAAAAAATAGTCAAATGCTTTTAGTTTGGTAGCAAACTGTCGTTAGTATTTGATTTTTAAAATTCCA